TACATATTCCAGGAGTTAAACCTGTGGAGACTCTTTCTATCACTGTAATTACTTTCATACAGGTTGTTAAAGCCAGATTCATTAGCTTAGGTTACAATGACTTATACAACATGTTTAAAACCCATTTATCCTATTAAAGAGATTTAAAACTTGCCTCCTTTCATGAGATGTCAGTGATTCTTGATTTATGATTTGGTCATGCTTTAAAAATAAAAGCAATTACCCCTCTTACTATAGTAAAAGCCCACTGCCTCAAGGTTGCCACAACGCATTTATAATTGAAGAGCAACAACTCTAATCTCCAGCTTGGATGACAAAGGCATTGGCTATTGAAATACTGCCTACGACGGTGTCTGCATTCCAGGGAGCGCTACAGCGGCTGACAAGTTTCCGCAGGAACGACTGCACCTCAGGATCCAATGTGCTGGGTGTTTCCTGGCAGTGGCAATACTTTCCATTTATGTATCCTAACGCTTTTAAGAAACAGAAAAAAAAAAAACACCCAACCAAAAAACCCAAAACACCCTCCTGTTAATTTCCTTGCAAGAGCCAAGATCTTTTGTTTGAATGCTTTTCCTTTGAAGCCTGCATGAATTTTATTTCAAAGGAATTTTCTTTGAGCGTTCCTAGAAATATGATGACTCCATGGTGCAAAATATTCTTGGGTGTTGCATCACTTCGGGAATCCAGCTGGCTTCCAAAACATAGCCATAAAAAGGCTAAACCAGCCAATGTTTTGTCCCAGAAAGGATCCCAGATCCACTCTCTTTAGGAAAAATCACCAAACTCATGCATTTGTCCCACACTTGCTGTAAATATTATTGGTGCACAGGTGGGGGCTGATGGCCAGATGGGGACTCAAATGAAGTGTGACACATTTTAACCATATCTGTGCAATGCTGTGCCCAGACAGGTTAATTTACAGCAAAACTGGTGTGTTTTGACATCACCAAGATCTGAAAGTTCCATGGAAGCATCCTTTTGATACAAAGAATACATACAAAAATTTTAACAACTTTTCTTACACAACTATAAACAAGAAAACCCCTCGTACACACGAGGGCACGCACTCATAGGAACATGTAAGTTATTCCCTCTCTTCTCAGCATAGCACAGACTCAAACTGGCAAAATCTGGAGATTCTCTGATATTCATGTATATCTTAACAGAAAGAAGTAATTTTAACAGTCACATAGTCAAATTTTAAATACTTTAGTTTAGAAATAATTAAGCTTCTGTTCATGCTCATTAAACTAGAAAAAGCGACTATTCCCCTTTCTCCCCATCTCTGTTTTTGGCCTCTACTAGTGAAAAATGGGGTTTAAGATCACTGTATGTATTTGATGCTATATTGATGGCTTTAGCTTGAACAACAAAGCTGTTTATAAACATTACCAAGGCAGCCAGCATCAGACAGCCTGATGCAGGAGGAGCTGCCGAACCTCCTACAGAGCTTGAAAGCCCTTTTAGGATTAATCCCTGTCCCCATGTGAGTCCATAACCCTCAGTGACGTGGGGTCCCCACTTTCTACACCTCCAAGTTTATCTAACCCAAAACTCACTGTCAGAGCTCTCATTTGAACACAGTTTAAACTTGCACAGCCCTTTTCCTTACCTCCAGCCACATGGACAGTCCCACAAACAAACACTTCTTGAAATGCAGAGATGGTCCTTTGGCAGGTGGTCACCAAAACTCACCCACTTTCTGCCACAGCCAGCCAGTGACATGGCCACAAAAACACCTGATATTTTTACCTCTCTTCCCCAGCTCGCTGTGCTAGAGGCATGCCTTAGATGTGGTTGCCATCAGGAGCCCCATAAAGAGGGCAAATGGATCCAGAATAAAAAAAGTTATAAAAACGAATGACTTTATAACTCACCTTTTGTCTAACCAAAGCTACATATCTTAAAATCAATTGTTCACATGAAGTAAGAACAGATGTCAGCCAGAGTAATAAACACAGGGTAGGAGAGTGGGAGCCCCAGGACGCCAGCCAGGGATTTGCTTGGTAAAAAGCATCCAACAGCATTTACTTCTTGGTCACAACCTGCATTCCAGAGGCTGGATCAGAGGGATGTGTATAAAACCTACTCTTTAATCATGATTTCTGCAGCATATAACCCCTTTTAAGCTATACACATGTGTTTTTAATGTATACAGACTTGACTAGTGTGGGGCATTAAGTGACATTTTAGAGTATTATTTATTAGCCCTTTTCTAGGGCTACAGCCAATTTCTTAGATGCTGTTCTTCATGCCATATGCTTTTTGTTACAAATGTTGTCTTTGAAAATAGGCCCAAATCAAGGTGTGTTTTCTTAATACATCAGTTTCCACTGCTAGAACTAAACATCCTCTCTTCCCACCCCTAAAATAGCTTTGTGTTAGATCAGCCTTTTTAGTAAGCAAAGGAGCATAAACACCTTGACGTTGGTCCTTGAGAGCACGAGCTCACATCAGCGGTGACATCCACATGGGCACGTTGGCCAAAAACACCCACGATTTATTCTGCAGGTCTCCCAGCCTCACTGTTTGGATTATTTGCAATGCAAGCCATTAGGAAAAGAAATTTACCTCTAATACTATAGTCCATGAAATGACACATAATACAATAATGTGTTACAACAGAATTTTCTTTAAAACACAAAGTAAGATCCCTGTAGGAACAAAACAATAACAATCTTTGATACTGCAATTAATTGAGACTTGCTAAAGTATCTCTGTAGTTAGGTAAAGAGATGCAAAAGGACTATTTGGAACACAAATTTCCTGGGAAATGAAAGTAAAAAGATTAAAATTAAATCAAATCTTCCGTGCAAATGCCTAGCTTAATATGTCAGTTTAATATGTCCGCAATGTGCAAGACAATATTCCTATTAAGAAAGTGAAGAAAAAAAAAAAAGATTTACATTTCACAACCACAGCCAAATAACAAAGCCACAATCAAAGATTGTTATGAACATTGCTACACAAAACAGCTAACTGGCTGCTAAGAGGAATTTTGGTTGTATAATATATAATGCGCCTAAGGGCAAAATTCCAGCCCACCTAAGTTACACCTAAATTGGGTGTTAAGTGAAAAACAACCACCTCCGTCCAAGATGGAGACGAGATAGGCTGACTGGCAGCAAGTTCCCTCACCCTAAAGGTAGCCAAAATTCAGAGGTTGCCTCCCAGTACACCCCTGGCTCTGCACCCCATTGCACCCACCTTTCCTTTCAGCTCACAAGCTGCACTTGGGTTCACATCCTGCCCGAAACAAGGCACCAACTGCCATCTTGTCCACTTTCCCTGGAGAAGGTCCCCTCCCACCACCTTCCTCCTTGGTGCTCTCCCACTGCGGGAACAAGGGCAGCCTGGGAAGGGAGGGACTGTAGCACCAGTCCCCAAAAGCACAAAGGGTCAGATGAGACAGAAGAAGGGTCACAACAATCCAGTTACTAAATAGTATTTCTTTTTATTATGCATTTTGGCTGACAAATAAAATATTAGGAAGCAGATAAAGGAAGAAATGGGCAGAGATAGAAGTAGTCCCAGATTTTCTGAGTAAAAAACATTTTTGGTCACACTTTGTGGAAGGAAAGCAAGAGTCTGTAATCAGGGGACTGGTGTAAACTCACAGGGAAATAAGCCTCAGTAGCAAATTAAATTGTGATTTTGTTCAGTTGACTGCAAGAGTACATCACGCGAGTACAGTTGTGACAGAAGACTAGAAGTTGCTCAGAAAAGAAAGGAAAAAAATGCATCTACATTTAAAGCTCAGAATGTAATGACTTATTTTCTCATCACTGAAAAAGAAATGCATCTTGTCAAAGAAAGGCACAGAACAGACAGCCAAACCAGGGAACTCGGAGGGATGAGGCTCCCTCTCAAAATATCACAGCCTTTCCAAGCCTGAGCATGTGATGGGCAATGCAAAAAGGGAGTGGAGCAGGAAAAATATAGGCGAGCTGCCCAACCTCTTGGCATTGGTGAAGGTTTTATGGTATAGAGCACAGGGATAACCAGCAGCAGGGAGGGCACCTGGTGTTCCTAGAACTGATTTAGGGAAGGGAAGTGACCAAAATCTATCAGGAGATGGGCACTGGACTCCAGTAAAGCCAACCTGAAGACTGACTGATCTTAGAAGAGTGAGCACAAAATTCTCCCCAAAGCAGCAGGAGACACAGGCAAAAACGCCAGTTCTTCATAAGCCCAGAACCAAATAAGGAATTGTACAAAAAGTAGAACTGAGATCAGAGTTTACTAGTAATTAAAGAAGCACAGGCATATACAGGCAATGCACAGAATGACCAAGACATTCATATCAAATTAGCAGCTGATATACTTACTATTACTTTTTCTATTATGTAGGGAAGGAGATTGTTTGCTTCTTCATGAAGGTCTTGATCTGTCTTTGTTCTTTTTTTCCACCCCAACTAATTTATGTTGCTTAGTCTAGCAAAGAGGACACATGATAAACATCACACCTATACTTCAAAAAATTTGGGGGGGGAAAAAGGTCAATCATTTCTCAGGTCCAACAGTAACAGAACCAAAAATAACCCCAAACATATTGGGCTGAAGCTGCAGTGAGAAAGATGTGCATTAGACATTTCTAACTCTCTCCAACGATAGCAATATATGCAACTCCTTATAACGCTATTGACTCTCAAGGATTTTTGTGTTGTAAAAAACAGGTTATACATCTGTCTGTGTGTTGACGGTGCCTTTTGAAGCAGACAGGAACTATATAACCTCATGAGATACCTTACACAGAAGGCAGGATACAAAGACATCAGGAAATCACTGAAATTCCTCCAAAAACACCCCATCTGGGGATTGCTTTCTATTCCTGTTCATCCACTGTTCTTCCTGAACATTACTCTTAACACAAAGATTTACCTCTGTTTGCAAGGCAGTGTAAAGGCAATTTAACAAAGACAGTACAATAAATAGCAGTGTCTTCAAAATAGAGTTTTGCCCCAGTTACCTCATCAAGTATGACAAACACTGATACCTTAGAGATTCTTGCTTTCAGGTTCTGACGTTCTCAGTGCCTTTGGGACAGGCTCAGTACTCAGCATCTTACTAATGAAAAAGTCATAGAACCAGAGAGGAAAGTAGCAGAAGACACAGAGGGGCAGATAAGCCCCTTTACCAGGAGTGTACAACCCATGTGGTCTCTTGGCCAGCAAAGCGTGCAAGATAGAGCTCAGCACGGGGGAAAGGTCAGCATCACAGTATGCGGGCATTTGTAGGAGGTAGCTCTTCAGCCCCAGGAGGTAGTCATCACCATAGTCTTGCCTTGTGTCTGCTGGAAGGTTCTTCATCAGCTCCTTTTCTTGCTTATCCCACAGGTCAGATGTGCCTTGTATACCTGCAGTAGCAAACATCATAGGATAGCAAGTGGGTTTGGGGCTGAATTAAAAAAAAAAATCATCTATAAGTAATAGTAAGTTGTTCTCCACCACCACCACAATTCGCAGTTGTTCTAAACTGGGTCAGTGAAGAATAGATAAAACAGCTGGTTTGGTGCGAGCGCTTCTACCTGGCAGAGAAGGGAAAGGATGAAGCACAGACTACAGGAAAAGCATAGGGTTTACACACCACCTGGTTACCAGCTCTACCTAAAAAGGCACTCTCACAGCCAAGTAAGCGTTTTTTCATTTTATCCTGCCCTGTCTCAAAGCAAAGAGTTCTGCCCAGGAGAAAGGCCACACTCATGATGCAGCAGCAGTCGTCGTGCAGAACTGGAGGGAACATCTCTCACAAAAAAATGCAGATCTTAATTTCCATAACCAACATGAAGAATGGGAAGAAAGTCCGACTACTGAGAATCACTCAGGGCTCTGTTTGAGGATGCTGGACTACAGGGAGAGAGGCAAGGCAGAAAGAACTACCCAAAATGTCAAATACCAACCTGTTCGGAAGCCTGACGGATGAATTGCAGCAACTTTAATTCCCCATTTGGAAAGCTCTTGCCTCATTACTCCAGAAAACATGGACAGGGCTGCTTTTGATGCGCCGTATGCAGCATACCTCGGCAGTGGAATGCCTCCTGCAGGAGCAATATAAACATGATAAAGCTCAACAGTGGCTCTTTCCAGCCTTTATTTTCGTGATTTAGAAGGAAGATTATAGTGCAACCAAAATTATGCGGCTCTCACTGAGGTTAAAGACAAGTCAGTGAGGGAATCATTTCTTTCAGGAGGTTAAAAAAGTGAAAGCTGTAAATTAGCAATGGCTTATAGCAGTTATAGTCAGTAACACCTGATAAGACACCTTGTAGGACAGAAGAAATAAACTGTATTGCATTTAAGGGTAAAAACTGCTGAAAATTATGACTGTTGGTTTCAGAAACACAGATAATGTTTTAGTTCATATAAATAGTGAAGCAATAGTTTAATGTTGCTGTTCTTGTCACTGTAACAGGAATTTCAAGCTCCTACTATAAAGCACAGTTACAATAGGGAAAGTAATCTCAATTCTAGCATTATAAAGCCAACTTATCTTCCAGTTTTTTCCAGATAGTTTCAGAAAGACCTGAGACAACAGTGCAAAAGTGGGGAAAACCTCTGTGGACAAACCAAAACTGGAATCATGCCCTTCCAGTGACAGGACACTCCGAGACCCATCATGGAAGTAGATCCTCTGCCTATAGTTATATTCCTTCTTCTCCAATCCCAGCAGCATTTGTCCAGATGGGAAAGATCGAAAACAGCCAGTATTTTAGGCAAATTTAAAATAAGTCCATATGTTTACAAAACAAAAACTTCCAGAAAATAATATCTTCCAAATATAGATATTGCCTCTGTTCCCCAAACCAGCAGACTGTCACTTCTGTAGAAAAATCCAAAGACACTTCAATTTGAGCATCTTCCCTTTCTCCACAAGGTTGGTGTTGTCGCTGCACAGAGCATCACTGACAGTTTTAGGGGTCATCACAGCCACCACAGGCTGCGCTGGCACAGCAGGGAGGAGGGAACAGACTGGGCAACCCTTCTCCTTGAAGCATATCACTCCCTCTGCCTGCATAAGCAGTTGGGCACATCCTCTCGTATGGCCTCCCTTCCAAACATTACACATTCATCTCCATGTATTTGAATCTTTTCAAAGAAAGTACTTTGATACAGGAGAATTTTCAGGTAAGCCACTGGTGCCATTTATTGGCATTTGTACCACAATGACAAGGTACCAAAGAAGCTTCTTACACAGAGTCATCCCTTTGGAGAACTCAGGCCAGTTATATGTTAATTATTCTTCTGTATGCATCTGAATAAGTTTGAGTTTCAATTGGTTTAAGCCAATTGACCCTGTGAGGTCAGGCTAACCTCGAGACCAGTTAAATTAGCTCTAAGCAGACAGGAATAGATTCGGCACAAGGAGACCTCACTAACCTTTCTGCTAATGTTTTACCAGAGGACCCTCAGACCCTGTGTTAGAGGAGGCTATTTACCCAACCCAGCTCATGTGCGAGAACATCTGTGCGAACAGCTACAGTTTAAGCAGGCTTGTTATCAGCTGCTGCAAGGGCAAATTATTCAGCACAGGGAAGCTGCAAGGCAGCTTGGGATTCATGCCACAAATTAATACGTCTGCCCCAAAACACCAAAAAGTGTAAGCTTTGCTTGGATGCTCAGAGAAAACAGAGGTCTGTCCTCCATCTCTGTGCTCGCAAGGGCTGGCGTGCAGAGAAGCACCAGAAAGGTCCTGATAATTCAGTCCTGACTTCTTTGTCAGCAACGAACCATAAACACAGTCATGCAGACCCAAAACATACTCAGGATTATAAAGAGAAAACAGAAGGCAGCAGTGTCAAAGCTAGGCTGAGGCCACATCCTCAACGCAAGCCATGAACACGAGCTATTGCGTGAACAAGCCACCTCGGCAATACACCAGTATTCGAGTGGATACCAACTGGACAGAAATAAGGGTCCGAGAAGAAAAGACAAAGGAAAATTTGGGAAGCAGAGGATATGGTACATCCTTAAGAGGGCTTAAACCAAAATACTTTCCAGCATAACGACATCCTGCTTCTAGCAGGTCTCATTTTCAAAGGACCATTCTTGCTCCTCAGCTGTTGGCTACCAGATACTGTATTACCTCGGTTCCTACATCTTAGCATCTCAGCTGTCCTCCTAGAATAGAAGGTCATGTTATAAAGGCATATATATAGTAAGCACAGGATCCAATTTATGGGACAAAACTGGAAAGCATATTGTATGCTGTTAATAATTTTTTAAAAAGTTTTTATTCGTGAAAAAAATACCACTTTGCTAATTAGTTTGGCTAAAGTGTTTTTAAGAAGGTATCTAAAAGATTTTTAGAGAAATAGAAACACACAGTCTCTTCAGGTCCCAGAGCATGTTCTACAACTGCGCACTCTGGAAAGAGCCAGAAGATGCAGCAAAAAATAAAACTGCCTTCTCCTTTTGAAAACTAAATGTTTCTCTTCAGCAGGTATTTTATCATCGTGCTTTCTCACTTTAACTAGAGTACTTGAGCCCTACAAGGGTGCAGAGGTAGAGCTGCCCAACTGAGATATCTAACATTTATTATAGACCGTTACAGATGGCAAATGTCATGAACATACCCCAAATATATTTATGCTTCAATTTTAACCCAAGGTATTTAAAAAGGGCCAAAACTTTAGCTGTAACCAGCCCAAATGGAAAAGAGCCTCTCTCTGAAAAGGCAGACAGCTTTTGGGCATCTCCACAACGTGGTTCAATGACACACAAACTGAGATGGTCACAGACCTCTGCTGGAACGTGTTATAGAAACATCTGTGATTTACCATCCAACTTTCTAGTAGCACACAAAGCTCATAGCATCTATAACACAAGATCTCAATTTTACTGTCTTTCATATAACAGCATATTTTTAGCATTATTAAACTCTTCCACTTTAAGGGCTGGTTTCTGAGAATAGTCTCCCAAACAAAAGAAAAAACTGCACTTATTACCTAAATACCAATTCCCTAGGTGTATTGACACCTTCCTCAGCATTTTTGCCAAGGAAGTTAATTGTCTTTTTTTGCTGCACCAGAAATTTATCTGATGCTTTAGTTCAGCTCACCTGCCATGCTGGACATGTTAACCAGCCTCCCCTGGGATTTCCGAAGTAATGGTAAGAAGGTCTTAGACACCTCTACAGCTCCAAAGAAATTCACCTCCATGCATTGCCTGTATGTGCTCATGGGGAGCAGCTCACCGTCAGCGGGGAAGCCCAGGATGCCCGCGTTGTTCACGACTCCCCATAGCCCTGGGAAGAGGAGAAAGCACAGGGATGCTACATAGCAGGAAATTAGCTCCATAAAGGTTAAAACAATGACCTGGATGGTGCCTCCAGATCAAAGCAGAGATTATCTGCAGATACAGATACATAGTACCCACCTCCTTGAGCAGTCATCACCATTTTTAAATATGTCCTAGAAAGCAGGAATCATGAATACAAGTACCCTGACTGCCCACAGACTGCAGCATGGAAGTGACCTACACACAAGCCACGATGCAGCCAGCAGGTAAGAGATGCACCTTGTAAGCAGCTACGTTAGTACACCCATTATAATGGCAAAAAAAAGCCATACCTGTATTTTGCACCTTCTGTGAGACTTTTAGATAAGCTTCCTTGACTTGGGTGGCATTGGTTATATCCAGCTGCAGGAGAGAGAGTCTCTGAGAACAGGTCCGTCTCAGTTCCTCAGCTCCAGGTCCATCCTTATTCAAAACCCCAGCAAACACAACAAAACCTAAGTTATCCAGGTATTTAGCCAGTGCATGTCCAATCCCAGTGTCGCTTCCTGAAAGCATCAAAAAGACACTTGAAAAGTAGGTCTGTCCTAAACCATCATCTAAAAAAAAAAATTGGAAATATGTGCAAATGTAACCAAAAAGATGATGAAATAAAGTCACTGAAATACAGGTGACTGTAGGAAGGAAGGCTCAGATCTGAAGGTTTGAGAAGCTGGACCTTTGCATGTTCCAGACTGACAGACCCTTGGCTCAGAGCTAATGGCATCAGCTCATGCTCTACCACTAACAGATTCTAAGACTTCCTTCATACACACAGAAGAAATTAAACCCCAGAATTGGGTTTATATAAATATTCAGACTAAAACCTGAAAACAAAAGTATCTTGGGGAAAAAAAAAACACTAAAACGCCAAGAACAAAACCCAGAAATATTTTCATCTGAAATTTCAGATGGACAAAGCGATTATAGGGCATTGGAATTCAAATAAATTCTATTTCTTTATTCAAAGTAACATTATTTTATTCAAATGTCTACCGTCCAGATCCTTCTGATAAATACTTTGTCACTGACTGCAACCAAGCCAGAGCCAAGCAACTGTTTGTTTACATGCAAAGGAGTTCAGTGCTTTCAAAGCCTAAAAAAGCCTCAGAATAGCATTTTTAGGCTAAGCCAAACAGCACCAGCTATTTAATTAATGGAAACTTGCATTAGAATTTCCATTGTCCTCTCTATCCTCTTCCAAACTTATTCCCAAACTTTGTCCGTATAAAGCAATGAACTATCAAATGCAGGAAGCACTATTAGAGCAAATACACAACAATGATCTTTGTGATCTTGATTGTGCAATTCCTCCCACCAGGTAACAACGATGAATAGTTAACAAATAGTTTGATTGATTCACAAGTCTTTCCTTTTGACACAGTATTTTGCTGCCACTATCTTGAGATACTTTTCGGCGTTTTCTCTCCTGGTGTCTTTTTTAATTCCAGTTTCCACTCTTCCCATCTACAGAGAGACTTCTTCGTGAGGAAGGAAACATCTCGCCCACCTGCCTGCCAAGACTCCCAGCGAAGCGACACAGGGCTCTGCTAGAGACAGGGAAGGAGTTCACAAGGACTGTACAGCAGGAGGTTTCCAAAGGACAATATCAGGAGGAAAATGAGGAGTTTAAGAAACTTCACAGGTTTTACACTGTAAAGCAGAGATACATGAGCATGTCCCATGATACTGCAGTGTACTCTCCCCTATAACTGCGACATAGAAAGCTCCTGGATGCTGGTGTGCACCGAGATCCATGGAGCTATCCCAGCGCTTGGCTGTCTCCTGCAGCAGCCACTAATTACAGAAATGCTCAGCTTCCAAACCCACCTGCATGGCTGGAAACCTGAACGTGGGACAACGGGCTGGCACTCCTGCCAGTTTTCTACTATTTCCTCATTTGTGAAAGAGCTGCAATACCCCCTACTTAACCCTATCAGAAACTTAAAGGTTAATCTGTGATTTTGGCACACCAAGGCAGATATTAGCATAGTTATTCACAGGCCTGCTCCGGCACTCAAAATCCATAGACAATAGGATTTGAGTGCCAAACAGATTCATCTTAATCATGCTAGATCTTCATTTCTGGGTGCTGCCTTTTAACTGGGGTTTTAGTCCTGAAAGGTGAAAAAAATGAATTCCAGATGATTTGAAAGAAACACATACTAAATGCCTGGATCAATCAGTGCAAGACGTTGAAAAGAATTACGCACGCTCTGCTTAATTCTTCTTAAAAAAATAAACGCTTTGGGGCATTTTTGAAGTCTGCAGTTTGTTGAAGATGCACCAGAACACCACATATATCACACTTAGCTTCTCATAGCCCTGACCCAAATAAGAAGAGAAGAACAAACCTGCATTCTTAGAATTCCCTAAAGAGACATGAAGAAGCCTGCAAATACGCCAAAGACATGACAGATTTCTGGGTCTTGGGGTGGGGCGCCTTTCCTTCTTTTTCTTTTAGTGTAAAACCCTATTTCTGGATCAAATCCTTCCCCTTCCATCCTTCCCAGCAAGTACACAGCCACTGAGCTACATATTACTCAAGTTTTTATAACACAGCTTTAACTTGGAAAGGTGCAGAGGGCTCAACAACTAGAGATGGGTGTAGCAACCTTGAGAAGGAAATAAAAAGCAGCATTTATCTGTGCCTGCACTGGGTTTGTCCCTAGTTCTGATCAAAACAAGCCTGATTTGAGTTTCAGATCTGTTACTGAAGTCCAGACAAACTTTACACTTCAACTCAAAATTCAAATAGTAGTTAGGTCTCGATAGGGAATAAAAAGAGAATTGTCCCATCCCCCTCCCCCCGCACACACACTTCGCTTCTATGTCAAAAATAAATCTTCTAATCATTCACAAATTGTTATTATAAGAAAGGCAGTCATTAGTGACTGTAACTGAATCATTACTGAGAATTTACCATCAACTTGCACCAAACATCAGAAACATTAAGTCACACATCAAGAAAGAAAAGACCAAATTAACTGGAGAAATTCAGAATAACCGAGGCACAAATTTTACAATTCCTGCTACTTTGGATCTTCGTGGTAATTTAATTTTTAGGGAAGCTTCCTATTGGGTCTACCAAACTCCACAAAAGTGTTTGCGTGCCCAGGAGCTTCAGTTTAAGGACACCAAAGCACTCACTCCCAGCAAGAGGATTAATAGGAGTGTTTCACCAATGACTTTAAGACTGCTCCCATGCCCACATTTACTCATGTGAAAAAGCATTTTGACAACTGGACACAATTTTTCCCCTTATCATGGTACTCCAGTGAACTGCCAGCTTAAATAAATAATGCACAGCAGCACCCATACAAGGGGCATCCAAAGAGGACCAGAACAATATTTGACAAAACCCAGGGAGAGAAGCACAGAGATGACTCCATCCTCTGGTCAAAGGCTGCCATCTCACAAGTGATATGTGGCAGCTGCCCCGAGCACAGCAGCATTCCTCTATCCTGCGGGGCTGAAAGGGGGAGGAAAGAAAAAGAAAAAAAAAAAAGAAAGAGAATCACCATTTTCCATCAAGTGCCTGCCTCGGGTCTTGTCTAAATTGGAGAAAATGACACCAACATTGATTTAAAGGCACCTTGCCACCTGCACATGCACGCAGACACACATCCTACAGTTGGTATGGGGAAGAGTACTACAATCAGAGCAATTTAACCAAGAAGTGTGTCGAGTAAAACTTTGGTTTCAGTCAATGGAGGGTTTGATGGTTTGTATACCATTCTGGATTCAAATAAAGACCAAGAAGAGCCTTCTCAGATGCGTCAGCTATCAGAGGTGTCCAAACTTGCATTCTTCAGGACAGCTGCAGCACAGCTACAATGAAAGCACGTTCCCTCGCTGGAATATACTCAAGTGTTCTTCACTCCTCTATATTTCTCCAATTCAAATTCTCTAGAGCAGGTAAGCTCTGAGAGAGTGTTCTTTCCTGAAAATCTGCACTCTTACAAAAAGCAACAAGATGCCCAAGTGCAAGCACAATCCCTGCGCCTGCAGGGGTGGGAAAAGGAGTGCTCCCTATTCCCCCCCCCGCCTGATACCCGTCTTCGGCTGATACACCTTCAGGGAGAAAGCCAGCTGGCAGATAAACCACCAGGGGAGAACATGCTGCTCGTCTTGTCCTCTCAACTTCTGAATTTAATCCCTGAATGAATGCTTCCTAGGCAAATCTAAATTATTTCCAGGTGTCCCTATAAAACAAAATGAAATTCTGCAAGAAATAGCTATATAAGCCAAAGCAACTTAATTCTACTTTCCAGAGGGAAAAAAAATAGGAAAATAAACCAAAAAAGAGCAAGTTAACAGTGCAAGAAGCGGTTGGCAGGCACTCCGGTTTGAAGGTTTGATTAACACAAATAAAAAACATTTATAAAGTTTTAGAAGAAACAGGAGAAAAAGCCATAAAACTACAAAAATGCCATCCCTGCACTCTAAAAGTGGGGTGTGAGTAGATCAGAGTGTTAATAGAGACTGAATTCATTAGCTCTGAACTTTCACTGCTAGTGAAGGAAATTACTCCCGAATGATTTCGTACATCATTTCAAAGAGATGGCACCAGCCAGTGTCTTGAAATATCTGCATGACATACACAGTGTGCACTGTGTAAAGGCGCACAGCAAAAGATAACCATACACCTGTAACCATGCAATGAATTCAAGTAAACATAAGTAATATACGAATGCAGTGTTCTGAGGGCTTCCAGAAATTAACGTCTCTCCTAAAAAATTAGACCATCCTAAGTATTCTTATGCCTCTTGCACCAGTTAATTTCACAAGTATGCCTAAAAAGCTACTTGTAAAGATTAAATGAGACACTGAAAAATAATAGCACCTATTAAGATGCTTTTCTACTTAATTTCAGAACACTTCTTTACCTGGAAAAAACATCTCTGGCAAAGCATATAAAATGAGCAAAAAGAAAAAAAAAAAAGAAAAGGAAACCTTAGGAGCACGTACTTCACAGATACCTAACCCAAGGACACAAAGTTTTCCAGCCCACTTGTGAGAAAAGCCAGTTTTTTGCCTCCCGGAGCACTTCTGCGGCGCCTTACCTGTGATGAGCACGGCTTTGTCGCCCACGGGCAGCAGCGCCCTGCCGCCCAGGTACACAGAGGAGACGAGGCTCACAGCGCAGAAGACCACCAGCCCCCCGCCGGCACCCAGTGTGGCCACGCACAGCAGCCCCAGCGAGGCGGGCAGGAGGCTCCAGACCAGCACCTTTACTTTCTCCACCGGGCTCCTCTTGGCCGTGCAGAGCACAGTCACCCCAAAAAGCACGGTGACAGCCACGCAGAGCCATCCAAAGGGACTGCCAGCAAGAGCATCCATCAGCAGTGGTGAGAAGCAGGCGCAGGCAGCCCACCGCCGGCTGGGTAAAAGCAGGTGTTGCTAAATGCAGCACGTGTTATATAGGAGCAGGGGGTGGGGCAGAGAAATGGGACTCCGTTTAAAGGTTTGACATAATCTCACTTACCCTTGGCATCAGCAAGAAGCAGAAGCCTTCCTTTTGTTACCTTTTATTCCTTCTGCCTGACAGCTCCACCTTCTGAACAATATGCTGGCTGGATAATGATTGACAGCACTGGGAATGGACATGATGTAGCAAGCGGTGGCTTCAGGAAAAAAATTAACTGCTATATGTTTTATATGTTTAAAGTACATTTTCCTAGATAGTGAAAAGCAAACAGTTGCCTTTATGGGAAATAGCTGGGATTTCCTGCCAAAAAAACTTAGGGTGTAGTTTCAGTAGAACTGATCTTTGATAGGCAGTGGCAAAAATGAGTCAGGACAGGGTTATTTACTCTCAGTAGTGCAAACTCTGTGGTTAGCGTCAGGCTTTATCACACACAGACCACCCTCCTCTTTCACCAGAAAGCCCAAAACAACCCTCCCTGCTTTAGTGCACAGCTTTGGCTATTTACCTCCTCCAGATTTAGCAAATACCTACTATTAATTGACATGCAATGAGGGCTGGGAGGCTGGGAAGGGGTGATTGCTGGTTTGCCATTAAGGGCACTTCGTTTAGTGAACACATGTAACACACCTGAGATTGAGTCTTCAGTTGACCTCCAGTGACAAAATTCACCTTAGTTTTGACAGGAATCACTGGTTCAATACCCACAGCAAGTTGGGGGGGGAAATGTAATCAATTAAATATATTTGAGAGATTTAACACCTACTGTGGTGTACTCTGAAAGCTATTTAAACAATAAGAAAAATTTAAACTCCATCCAGCTAGAAGGATTAAAATACAATTTAGGCATATTAAACCCCATTTAAAAAATCCCTGCTTTTGAGAGACGAGCCTAAGTTGTCACACAACCAGCTAACACTATTTTGGTGATTTTCTGAAAGAAAATGAAGTGCTGAACTGTTTTATTTCAGACAGCTGGAAGACTGAAGTGCAGGGTGCAAACCTAACACGAGACACAAGCACGTTTCCATTCCGTTATTCCTTCGGGGGTTTATGGGATGACAAATCTGTAGAGTATAAATTTTCACAGCCAGTGAAAAAGTTTACTTACCTCTATATGTAGTTGACATTCGAGATGAGGTCACTTTCTTAAAGGAACATTACCCTCGAGGTCTGCTTGTCATTCATTACTGTTACAAACACTCCTTCATCCATCCTCCACTAGTGCACAAAGTGTAAACTATTTTCACTTCTCTTTGCCATTTGCTGCTTCCACTTTTATTAGCTTGGTGGTCTTGAGGTCAATTATAGCCTGCCCTTCATTAAGGCGTCTTCTTAAAGATTTCCTTGGAGAATTTTGCTTTCTCTCCCCGATTGGTCTTTATCGCATGATTTAGATGATCACAAATGTGGTGGCATTTAAAGCATCGTCTCTCACACTTGATGATAGAGCGAGCTGGAGTTTTTGCGTAGTGGGAAGAGGAGCAGCAGTCACCACCTCCAGCCCAATGTCTGTCCTAGCTCCCCTCAGCCTGTGGGGAGGGGACCGAAGTAGGCGAGGGGACAAGCCATGGTGACCACCATGCCTGGTCCCTGCAGAACAATCCCCATTTGCGCCTTCCCCTCTGCTCCACACACCCCTGCCAGGTCCCCCAGTGACATGCACATGTGCATGTGGACATCCTCTCCCACACACCCTGAACTGGAGGATGGGGACATGGGGGGCACCACATGCATGCGTTGTACACGCACCTGCTGCCACAACACCCACCTGCGCTCACAACACTGCAGAACAACTGTAGGAATGGCTGGTCTGGACTGATCTCTGTCTGAATTAATGCTGAATTTATATTTGGAATACAAAATAGAACCAATAAAGGTTTGCAGGGTGGCTTTTAATGATAAGCTGACCATGTGTTCACCCTGGTGTATGAATGAAGTGATATGTAAATGCATAGGTAATACATACTGTGAGATAGGTTACTATCAGAAAGGATGGTATGATCTAAAACTGGCTAAGAAACGTTAACTTGGAGTACCCACCTCATGAACCCTCTGCACGTTCTCCGACATCAGCAGAGACAGATTGCTGCTTGAGGATTTTTCAGCACAATTCTGCAATGAGATAGGTTTTATCGTCTCACGCCCACTATCCATCTTAAGAAAGCATCTACTTTCCTCTCTACCACTTTGGTGTGTCTCCAGTTCTCACAGCTGTACCATAACACAAGTTTGCAATTGAGTTTGCAGTATTTCCTATTTCTCTACACCACTCCTACTCACACTGTGAATAGACACCCTTATCTCACCTCTTTCTTGATAGTTTTGCTGGCGAAGTTGTGGCTCCTTCAAATTATCAGAATGACATCTGAGTTACAAGGAGGATGGATTTGGACTAACTGATTTTGAGCTAAGCTTGACCTTCTACCTTTGCAAGGACTTCTGTCTTTATTCCCAGCTTTTCACACAATAAGTCAGTGCCCTGTCCCTCCATGCCCTGGCAATCTACGTATTCCATACCGAAGCCTGAACACTGCTTCCATAGTCAGCCCATGCCAATGCCAAATAGCAGCAGAGAAACAATTCAGATCAGCTTCCTGGTCATGGTGATTACTTTCCCTCACTGACCACTTTGATTTCTGTGCATGTTTCTGCTGTTTCTAACTGGGACTTTGCAGATCTCAAGCATGTCCCACCATGTAAGTCTCTTCATGCTGTGATAACTTTCGAAGGTCAATCAAAGCAATGGCAAAAGCCTTTCATGGAGAGCAATCCTTCCACGGTTGTCTGCAATATGAATGGCCATTCTCTACAGGATCTTTTGAGTCCAAATCCAGCTTGTTTTACTCCAACCTCTACAGTTGCAGCATCTTTCATCTTGTGTGGTATCACTGCAGAAGACTTTACCCAGGACAAAGCAAGGACACCTCTCCAACACGCAGGGTCTTTACCATCAGCATCCATTCATTGACTCCACATTCTCATTCTTTAGACAAAATAACTTCTTCCCAGATTTTAATTTACCTCCTTCTCATTTCTTTAAGCTTTTCTCTTGTCATGCTTTGCTGGCTCTATATTTTTCAGCATGATGGCTGCAGCCTGTGCTTTCAATTTCTGTTCTTAACACAAAAAAGGGCAAAATGTTCAAGTTCCCCTGTTCCTTTGAAATGTGGTGAAGCTGAGTCTGTCCACAACTTCTTTGAAACGCGCCACCAAGCACTTCTTCTGTTCTACCTGGGTAATGAGCACTTTTCTGTCTTTGCTTTTCATGGCTCCATTTCTGGTTCAGAAGTTTTCCTGCTGTTCATTTTTTTAAAGCTTCGGTGACTTTCTAGCATAGTAGAAGCTTCCAGTTCAACCATGAGGCCTTCAGCATGTCCCTGTTACCTTTCTCTGCATCGTTTTTCACTTCTTTGGCCACGTTTCTCATGTGCTTTCTTTGCACTTTCCAGTAATTTACTAAACAACATTTTTCCTTTCAGCACTTTGTCCAGAGGTACATTGTGCCATATCCAACAGTTGTTTTCTTCTGATATTCTTCTGTCCCAGCTGCAATATGAGTTACGTTGTCTAGAAGATCAAACCATTTTTCCACATGTCCCATCACTATCTCAGTTTCCTCTGCCAGTCACAGATTTGTTTTTCAGTTCAGGCTAGAATTTTGCCTGAACTCTCCAGTTTTCCGTTTTGCTCTATTTGTTTGCTGATTCAGGCTTCTTCAGCTGTGCAATGCAATGACTGTCCTCCTGAGAGCCCCTGCTCCATGTGCGTCGTCTGCTTTTGTGGCTTGGCTAGGGAATCTGCATTTGAAGTTCTGTAGGGACAGTCTTGGCTACAAGGCTTTTCTTGGAAATTAATTTCAGCAGAAAATAGGTTGGAATCTGTTTCATCAAATGAGTCATTAACCAAGACAGAAAAAATTATTCTCATGAGTAAATGCATATATGAGCAGAAAAAATATGAAAGTATTTACTTTCATTTACTACAGCTTCTGAGAGTACATAAACACCTTCTACATTTGGATTTTGGTGGACTCAATGGCTATACAAGCACTTGTCAGGCTATGAGTCCTGGATGCAGAAGCTGTTGAACTTGCATACACAAAACTCATTTGGGCAAACAGACTTTGCTCTTACAAATACTACTTGACTCCTATATAAAGGCGGAGATAATCCTCTGCATTCAGCCAGTTATCCATGCACTCAACTTAAAGCACATGAATTGTCCCAGTAAAGACAACGAAACTATTCATCTGCCTAAAGCTAGGAATGTAGCCAAGTACCTTTGTGAATTAAGATCTCTGAACTCACAGGCATGTACTGAATAAGGGAAAAAAAAGATTATCTACAACTGAAAATAAGGCTGTGTAACCTCTCCTTTGTCTTCAAACTATTTCTTTAATAGACCCTTAGGGAAAATAATTCCTGTCAAACAAAATATGTATCCATTAAAGAAAAGTAAGAAATATAATTTACCTCTAAGCTACTGGACGTTTTGGTTTCAGAAATATAGTAATGGTGAAGGTTGTAAATTCAGAGACAGACAGTAATTCCCGAAGATCACTTGGCAGTCAAGAAACAGCTGTAACTCACCATTTCTCAACATTCAATTCTAACAAAAGGCTAATAATAATAATAATAATAACTTCCTCAGCTAAATCTCCTGTTACCTTCTCAAGCGCAAGAACCTCAGAGTGCGAAACTTCTGCACTGATGGCCAAACTGGACCTGTAAATCCTTTTGGCAGGTGCCCATGCAACACACACCCTAGCATTATACAAGCTTCAAAAGAAATAATTGCAGCCTGTATTTCCCATGTGAATCCAATGCCTGCAGCAGCTCTGTCTTTGCTTTGAAGCTGAAGGTCTCACAATAATATGCCATATGAAGTGAAGCCATGAGCTGTAAGTCCTGCC